TCAGTGTTCGGTTCGAAATGTGTGCGCGCGCGTGTGTTTTGTTCAGCGATGAGGCTCATTTCTGGTTGAATGGCTTCGTAAATAAGCAAAATTGCCGCATTTGGAGTGAAGAGCAACCAGAAGCCGTTCAAGAACTGCCCATGCATCCCGAAAAATGCACTGTTTGGTGTGGTTTGTACGCTGGTGGAATCATTGGACCGTATTTTTTCAAAGATGCTGTTGGACGCAACGTTACGGTGAATGGCGATCGCTATCGTTCGATGCTAACAAACTTTTTGTTGCCAAAAATGGAAGAACTGAACTTGGTTGACATGTGGTTTCAACAAGATGGCGCTACATGCCACACAGCTCGCGATTCTATGGCCATTTTGAGGGAAAACTTCGGAGAACAATTCATCTCAAGAAATGGACCGGTAAGTTGGCCACCAAGATCATGCGATTTGACGCCTTTAGACTATTTTTTGTGGGGCTACGTCAAGTCTAAAGTCTACAGAAATAAGCCAGCAACTATTCCAGCTTTGGAAGACAACATTTCCGAAGAAATTCGGGCTATTCCGGCCGAAATGCTCGAAAAAGTTGCCCAAAATTGGACTTTCCGAATGGACCACCTAAGACGCAGCCGCGGTCAACATTTAAATGAAATTATCTTCAAAAAGTAAATGTCATGGACCAATCTAACGTTTCAAATAAAGAACCGATGAGATTTTGCAAATTTTATGCGTTTTTTTTTAAAAAAAAGTTATCAAGCTCTTAAAAAATCACCCGTTACATAAATACACCAGCCTGGTTCAAAAAAAAATCTACTATCTTTTTTTTCAAAATCCCCTGTGAAATATTTTCGGGATAGTGAAAAAAGACGAATGTCAAAAGCGCAGCCCTTTTTATTAAGATTTAGAGGTCACTCATCGCGAATTGCTATTTGCCATAGAAATAACACGAATAAATCGTTTCATTCGTTAAGTTTTTTAAAAATCTAAATAAAAATATGACGTTTTTTCATGATTTAATTTTTTAGGTATGCAGTTTTGTAGTGCATTCAAATCTAGTATAACAAAGTGCAAGCTTAAGTGGATACAAAGTACCGTTAATTTTTGGCGTTTTTTTTTTCTTTTGTTGACGGTCTTGTGTATTTTACTCCATATAAAAAATTTTTGACTTTAATCTTGAATAAGTTTTGGAGGAGTAAATTTATGGAAAACTCATTTTAATACGACTTCTATTTCCTTGAAAAATATATATCGCTCATTTTGATACGTTGACTGGCAAACGAGTTATGAAATTTGAAAATTGGATGTGTTGGTGAAAAAATATGTGTTAGTTACACCGACATGATTCTGGCATGACTCAACTGTGTGTAGTCGAACGGCAAATCCACACGTACACAGGTGACTCACGAGTCAGACGCACCGTCTATGGCGGCTATTATATGGAAAGTAGAAATTTGCGTCGGCTGCTGTGGTCTAGTGGTAAGCAGTGCGCGGTTTCACTCCGCAGCATTTGGGTTCAAACCCTGGTCAAAGCAATATCGCAAAAAATATAGAAAAAATTTTTTTCTTAACAGCGGTCACCCCTCGGCAGGCAATGGCAAACCTCCGAGTGTTTTTCTGCCATGAAAAACAGCTTCTCATAAAAATACAATCGCCGTTCGGAGTCGGCGTAAAACTGTAGGCCCCTCCGCTTTGTGTGACAACATCAAAGCGCACGCCACAATTCGGAGGAGAAGCTCGGCCAAACACTAACATATGTGTAAGCGCCAATCTATTATTATATTAAAGATTTCAAGGTGGCTTTTAAAAGAAAAACGATTGTCGAGGTAAAAAAATTTTGTTTTTTTCATTTTAGTATTTTTTTTATAAAAATATTATTTATCATTCAACAAAAACCGTGTAAATTCAAGATTAAACTATGTGAAATATGTAGTAAGACAAAAAAGGTTCAACAAACAAACAAATTGATTATATTTCAAGTCTTTCACCAAAATAAGTATTTCGGACAAATATTACGATTTACGTGAGTTGGACCTAATTGAAAAACCCCCAAAAATCGAGCTTTCAATGTTTAAAAATATTTTTTCTTAAAAATCACCTCAGATGAGAGAAAAATATAACAAATTTTAATATTTCGGTAGAATCCGGATCTGAACTTCAATTTGATAAAATCCTATAGGAATCAGCTCTCAAAGCTCAGCCGCAAAATTGTGTTGGCCAGTGTTCTCTATATACATATGAGTAGTCCACTTGCAACCAGCGTTATGTGATTTTATAATAGAACGCCATAAATTTGAAAAAAACGGCTACGACAACAAGTAACATTTTAATTGAATCTTTTTTATTATTACCTGAAAATTTGGATAAATAAGAGCCTTATAAAATTGTAACATAACATAACATGACATGAGATAATATGAACAGTCTATACGACTTAAAGCAGCTTTCTAAGTTCATCAGAAGATTGATACTTTTGAAAGTTCATAAATAAGTATGATAGCGACTTTTTTTTCAGAATATAAAAAAGATTTTGCTCTGTGTTGTTAGTGGACATCAAACTATTTTAAATACTGGTACGTAATCCGCCAAAAACTAAAAATCGAAAAAATTTTACATAGCGCACTTTGCAAGTGGACTACTCATATGTATGTACATTACGGCATCCATCAATCTTTTTTTTTTAATTTCAAGACCCTACCCACTAATTTCCTTCCTTATTATAAGAAATATTATTTCCTATTTTTATAAATTTTTAAAAATCATTTAGAGGTCGCGATTTGCCATTTTAGGTCAGAAAGTACGGTTTTGCAGATTTATCAGTTTTTGAATGACCTTTTTTCATTAGATTTCAGAGATCGAACATGTTGTGAGTATATGGTACTTTAAAATGATGTATAATAATCTATTGTCAGACTTGGATTGTAGGGATTTTTCATCGGGCAAATTAAAAAAAAAAAACATTTTTTTCTTATTTTTTTAGTTTTGACCATCACTTATTTCCACAATTTCAAAATTTGTAGTACTATCTAAAATTAAATCTATTTTCAAATAAACTGATTAATTGATTCTTAAATACGGCCTTGAATTTATATTGTATATGTACCGGACTTTTTTGAGATTTTTTGAGTAGTTTTGATATATACAATCGCTCTTTAGCAAAAGAGTGATTTTGAAGAAATTTTAGGAAAATGGGGGTGGCACCGCCCATTTATATGATATATGCATATCTCAAAAACTACTGTACCGATCTCGACCAAATTTGGTGTACACATTCGGTTTAGCCTCTTTAAGCACCGTCTTGAATATTTTTAAATCGGAAATATGTTGACGTGGTCCGATGTAGAAGGAGAAGGACGCATATCTGCGTGTTCGCCTCTGCGAGGAGAAGGATCAAATATCGCAATTCGGGTGTTAAATGTCAAAGTTTTAAAAAAGCTAATTTAAAAAATATATATACTTTTACAGGGTTGCCACCTGTTTGCAAATCTAAATTCCATAAACTTGTTTAGATAAAATAAAAATCACAATATGCCATCTCGGCGGGAAGAAGGTTAGTCGCTAGGTTTAAAGAGAGTTGTCAGCAGTTAAAATTTTAAATTACATTAAATTAATGGGCTTGAGCTCATTAAAAAAAAAACTACTTTTTTAGAGGGTTTCCGCCTGTTTGAAAAGTTAAATTCAATAAACTTGATTAGATAAAAGGAGTATTACAATTTGGGTGTCAAACGAAAGAGATTTAAGAAGGCTAAATTTCCAATATGTTTTAAAGAAGGTTGCCACCTGTTTAAAAATTAAGTTCAATAATTTAATAAATAAAATGAATTAATATTTTATGGCTATCGATATAAATAGTTTTGAATAGGTCGAATTTAGTTTAAATATGTATACACAAGTTAAATGAAATATGTGTTGAAATATGGATGGCAAACGAAAAAGTAATAAGAAATATTTTGTTTGATCATTTATAATATTTTGAGGCTTGAAATAGTTGCCACATATTTAAAAATTTAATTAAATTCAAATTATTTAACATGTTCAATGAATTTTTACTACATATATATATATATATGGATATCAATTAGAATGTTTTTGAAAAGTCTTTATTTCTTAACTACACGTAGAAAGGTTGCCACATCTTTAAAAGGTCAAATTAAACTTAGCTGAAGGTAATTTAGAAATTAATATATGTATCAAAATATGGGTGTCAAAGGAAATATGTTGAAGGAGGTTAAAAAAAAGAAAAATCTGATGTTGAGTTTTATTAAAATAAATTACTTCCAATGCTCACTCAGCGCAACGGGTGTGGGAAAACTATTAATTAATATTTATAGATTCCATTATAAACTCTTAGCAAGTATTTAGTATATCAAGCCGACTTCAGGACCAAATGTCGACACTAACTAGATTAAAATCAAAGAGAAATATATTTTAATTAAAGTTTGTGTTGTCTTATTTACAACAGACTTTATCTTATGGTTATGCGCAAATAAGTCCTAAGTAAGGAGTCCTTTTCTTACTGTTCCCACAAGCTGCTTGCCACAAAGTTCTTTAATAGTGTTTACGCAATTGTCCACTCAAGCTTAAGTAGACTGCCACAATTTTCAATTCCGTGTCCCCAACATTAACCAAAAGGCAGACAGCTTGCAAAAGCTCATTTCAATTATTTTAAATTAACGATCTGCTGCGGGTCGTTAGCGGTTGTTTTAATTTTCGACACCTACCGCAACCCGCGTCGCAACAGCTAGTAGCTATATATATGTATGTAGTTGCTGAGTATTTGGGTAATATTACGAGCACCGAATTTGGGCCAACTGCTGGTTCTTAATTTATCCGCTTGCCTGCCATGGCTGGGTGCAACATTAATTTACATTCTGGCAGTTTTCTCTTAATGCTTTTCTTTTTGGATACGAGTATTATTCGCACGTTCCTCTATATTTTCTCAAGTTTTCATTTCCATTATAACTGTACGTTTTGTCTCCGGTGTTAAACCACTGCCACTTTGTTTCTTTGCAGGACCCTGCCCGCAGGGAACCTTCGCCTGCGATGGCAATACGTTGTGCGTGCCACAGCGCCAAATATGCGACAATCGCACAGATTGTGAGGATGGCAGCGATGAACACCCGGTCGAGTGTGGCCTACTTTATGGCAGTAAGGCGCTGACCGATAAAATTGTCGGCAATGCGATTGAACGTAGACGGCAACAACAACAACAACAAAGACAAAAACAGCGGCAGCAGCAGCAGCAGAGCGGGCAATTTCTTGACGGAGCAGCAGGAGAATTGATGAATGTGACAAGCGTGGGAGTGCCACCAGAGGAGGAAGAATCCATTGACACTGTTGGCGGTGGGCAGCGTACGCAAGTAATTGCCAGCGCTGGCGGCAGCAGTAGTAGTGTGGGCAACATGTATGCCAGCGGTGGCAACGATGAAGTTGCGAACTGTGGTAAGAAGTGCTCATTAAAAAGCGACCGCGCGCAGCGTTTAATGTCTCCATGGATGCATTCTTCTTCTTCTTCTACTTCTATATCATTTTTGTACAAATTTATGCGACGCGAATTTCACCTTTATTTATTCATCTATTCATTCATTACAGAAATTACAACATATCCTAAAGGTGTATGCACTTGTCGACAGCGTACAATATTGTATTGCGGCCGCAAAGCGAAATTGACGCGTATACCGCGCTTAAGTGCAGAAGTACGTATGTATGCACATGCTTGAAACTTAAGCCACACAAAACGCAAGAACTTAGTTCAAAAAGCTCAATGGAATTTGACCATTTCTTGCAGGTGACGTACTTGATGATCGGCCGCAGTAATTTGACACTGCGTGAGAATGCCTTTATTGGACTGAAACGCTTGGTGAAGCTGTAAGTAACGGAAGTGAGCAAAATACAGTAGAAGAGAATTGAAGGCATAGCAGCGTTCAATAGAGGCCTTTGACCCTTTTTCGGCATTTGCGCTAATCTTAATGCCTATTTACTATGATTTATAGCAACGTCTTTGTTTGCTTCTTTTTTCTTTCCTTCTTACTTCTCTAACTTCACGCCTTTTACTTTATATAATCTATTATTTCTTTATCTGTCCTTTCCATCGCACTTACTCGTGTGTACATACATACATATATGTGTGTGTGTTTCGCCTTCTACCGCGGTAGCTCACTGAAGCATTGCAACATATCGCATGTGCCGCTGGGCACATTTAATGGCCTACACCAGTTGGAGAAATTGGATGTGCGGCACAATAATATCAGCGCGCTGCCAGTCGGCACATTTCGTGGCATGAACTTTTTGGTGTGGCTTTTCTTCATCTCGAATCAATTGCGTCAGTTGCCGTTGGCACAATTTGCGGACATGCCACGCCTTGAATGGCTGATGCTGAGTGATAATTTACTCACACTTCGTAACGAGAGATTTCCGCACATGCCGCGTCTATATGAAATGTGAGTAGAGTATGTGTAGTGTATTAAGCGCATCTCAATCTACTAAGATCGGGATGAGCCGGCCAAATATGTTTATGTATATGTTTTTATGTATGTATGCGCATAAAAAATGTTTGTTATGCGGGTGTGCATGTAAACCTGTGTGTGCAATAAAAGTCAATGTTTGAGAAAACGTTAGTCAGCTACTATACTCGTAAGTACAAACGCTATTAGATTTACATACATGCTTATGCTTGAACAGGTTATTACCTAGGAAACTTAAGTTAGCTTGAAAGTAAATGGAATGAATGCAAAACAGACAAATGATATACGAAGAAATATTTCTGATTTCGAGTTTTGTAAATTTTTTTAGATAAAATTTAAGTAACGGTACTAGAATTATTATATTATTTAAAATTGTTTCAGTGTCTCGAAGATTTTTTCGTCTTCGCATTCACATTCGTATTCGATTCAGTCGCTGTCTTCGTATTCGTCTTCAGAATGTATTCATATTCCACTCCGTTGTCACATTCTTCTTCGTATTTATCTTCAACTTAGTCGTCATTTTCGTCCACGAATTCATCTCCGTATTCGTTTTCGTCTTCGTCCCCTCTCTTATATGTATTTGTCTTCGTATCGTATTCGTATTTGCCTTTGTATTAGTCTTCGCATTCCTCCTCGTCACCGTTGTCGTGTTTTTCTTCGTATTAATCTTCGTCTTCGTATTGATTTCGCTATTCGTTTCAGTGTGTCTTTGAATTTGTCTTCGCAATCATCTCCATATTCGTTCTCGTAATGAATTCATCTTGATATACGTCTTCATTCATGTCTTCGTAATCATCTTCGATGTCGTATTCATATTTGTGTTCATATACGCCATCGTATTAGTCTTCGTTGTCATCTCTTTATTCGTATTTATCTTCATATTTCTATCCGTATTGGTCTTCCTATTTGCCTTCTTATATTCTTCGTATTCGTGATACGTGAGCAGTAACATAGAATGTTCTCTTGGGTTTATTCCACCAGGAACTTTTTCAAATACCTCTCTTCTTTGCAAATTTTTGCAAGCTATTCACATCAAGTGCAGACAAGTCCTTCCGCCATTAGGATTTCTATAGTGTGCGTGGCCGCCTTTGCTTCTATTGTCTAGAGTAGTTCAGTATTTAATATTCTTCAGTAGTCATCAGCTACACGAACAGATTTATAGGCTTTACGAAAATCGTTCCCTCGATAACTACGAAGGCCTTCTCATATTTATTTGCCTTTGTATACGTTCCTGTGCTTGTTTGATATACTTGACACCCTGGCATTTTTTAGAGCAAACTTTGCTCTTTAAAATATCGCCAGATACAAAAATTAAGCGGTTTCGCATCTAAAGGAAACGACAGCCGTTGCGTCGACAAAAATAAATGTTTTGACGTTGTTTTAAAGCAACTCTTAGTTGACTCGTGATTTGTATGACGGTACTGAATCATGTTAAAATCTCGAAGGTCTACGATCGTAATGCTTGTCTGTTAACAGCATCAGGGCTGATTCTAACATAGTTTTCCGATATACTGGCGCATTTATTTTTACGGTACGTTCCAAAAATACGAGCGGAGAGCGTTCATTAGCCGTTGCGGCACCATTAGTGGTGTCTGCATTCTGGTGACCATTAGAACGTTCAGACTTTTATTTTGACAAATAAATTCGAACAGTTTGTTTGTTTACATACTGTTCAATTGAGACGCATGGAAAAACTCTCACCCGGTTTCAGTCTGAGATCTTTTTTCAATATTTCTGGTATGCTATAAAGCGTATGCCCTGCTCAGCAGCCATTTTTTCTTCCACTACGACGTAGATTTCTTTTAATCTGCTTACGAACATTCTAGAATGTAGACCATTTCAGCGCTTGTTGTTCGAAACTTATATCAGTCTGAATTTGGGAACAACTCGATTGCCTCACCCTTTAAACCAACTAGCGTGTTGAGAGATTTGTAGAGCGTGATTTTTGTTTGTCAAGAGAGGTTTCTGTTTTTCATTTGCTTTAGACTGCATCACCAAAAAAAGTTCCAGTTTTTCCACCGGGATTGCAAAACTTGTTATATTTTAAGAAGTCCACCAAAATATTTCGGAAAAATATTAAGATTTTAGTGAGCTGGACCGATTTGAAAGCACCTCCAAAAATGGAGTTTTTTATGAATAAAAATGGTTTCTTAAAGAACTTTTTGAAAAAAGTCCCCTCAGATGAGAAAACAGATTAAGCTTAAAAAATCTGCATAAAAATATTTAAAAATCTTTTCAACGGAATCGTAAGAACGAGATTTTTGATGCTGTTTTTTTACTTTTTTCAAAGATTGATTTACGAAAACCTTGAATAACTGGGCCAAAACTATTCTGATTTAGACTTAAGGGATCTCAGTGGAAAGGTATTTTCACACTGTTTTTATTTCTGTCCAAACAAAGTCATTCGTATCCCAATTTTTTATTTTTCAAATAACAACACATCTTAATTCAACTTTGAATAATTTAATTTTGTATGCAAAGTTTTGACATTTGAGGGGATTTTTTCAAAAAAAAAATTTAAGAAACTATTTTTATTCATATAAAATACCATTTTTAGAGGTATTTTCAAATCGCTCACTTAAATCTTAATGTTTTTCCGAAATATTTTGGTGGACGTCATAAAATATAATAAATTTTATAATTCCAATGGAAAAATAGCACCGATTTTTTTTGTATGGGGAGTGATGCAGTCTAATGTACATAAGTATGTACCTATCTAGGCTTTCTACGGTAATTTCTCTGCAAGGCATTCTTTGTTCGTTTCTCTGGATTCAGTTTATGCTTGCGTTCTCCCTTCGTTCGAAGGTAATGCTGCGGGTAAGGGCTTACCGTGTTTTTTGCTGGGTAATTTCTTTGATTTGCATGCCACATTGCAAGATTACAGAATTCGTGCTACTTATTGCATAAAACACACTAAAAACGATTTCAAAACCCTATTACAGTCCGACCTTCAACAAAATAATTTCTTAAAAATCAATTATACTAAAATTTAATGGGCTAAAAAACTGCATACATACTCAACTTACAATACAAATACAAAGTGCAATATTTGAATGAAATTTTGCAGAATTTTCTTCAATTTTGCACAAGGCTTGGTACGCTGATTTTAGGGTTTTTTTTGTATAACCATATTATTATAAAAGATTTGCGAAAAATAAAATATTTAAGAAATAGTTGCCCGTATTGTAAAAAATTCGCTGTACCTAAACATTCTTGACTGACTGTAAAAAATTAACTTATGACATTAAAATAATTCTCTCTCTTTATTTTTTTCTTTTGCAGCTATTTGGATTCAAATCGCATTGAATACATTGCAGAGGATACCTTTGCTCATTTGACTAATTTGAATTTGCTGTAAGTAATTTAAAAAAAGTTAAAATTTTATTTTCTGTTGCTAAGCCCACTTTTTGTGCAAACTTAATTTTCAAAGAGATCAAATTATGTAATTGTTTCAGTGACCGTAACGGTTATGATCACGGACCGTCACGGTTATAACTTCAATTAAAAAAAATTAAATTTTACTGATTATTTACAGAGTTTTACTTATTGCTGAATAATAGCAATTTTTTGAATTTTGTTTGCTAAAAAAATCTGTGATAGATAGATTTCGTACAAATTAAAGCAGGCATCGAACGATTTTTATATTTGTAAAAATTTTTACATTTTCACCGTTACAGAGTGCTGTTGTTTCGAAAGTGGTTATTGAGATGAACTCATTCTCGAAACAAATTTCTAGACAACACCATCCTGTGACTGCCAAATGTACAAATCGTGTGATCCCTGCTTTACGGAAATACGATTTTGATATGTATACAAAATAATATTTATGCTAACCACTGTGAAATAAATAAATTTGTTCCAGCATTTAATCGATTTCAAGTCACATTTTTGACAAGTAAAAAAATTTTGTTTTCAACCTCAATTCTCTTTAAAAACAAGTTGTAACTTAAATATGAAAACAATCGGCTGTGGCATAAACCTACATACATACATACTAATGTATAACATACACGTTCCTGTGCGTGTGCATACATACACATGTACACATACATATCTTCAGTTAATAAATTGTCTACATTGTTTTTATTTAATGCCAATCATTTTTCACTGTCAACAAACGAAGTAAGGGTTGGTTGCGGCATTTAGTGTCAATATCGAAGGCATTAACTCTGTTTTTCGATACAGACGAGTCGGCATAAAATCACGATTCGCGACAAACATTGTACATATATTACATATTGAAAATAAATGGACATCACGAAGCAAAAACAAATACAAATCCGTCTACATAGCTATAAAAGCGATAAATAATCAATGTGCCGCGCAGACACCTTAGCGTATTTGAATTTTTGCTGCTGTTCAGTTTTTTATAGCCATCATAGTTATTGTTACCGTTATTTGTGCTGCAGCCACAACAATGTGATGGTGGTAGTGGTAGGAGTAAAGTGAGCAATTAATAAACAAAAAACGTGTTTGCGCATGAAGGTAAATACTTTCGTAGTGAAAATTTGCAAATTACTGTCACTTTGCAATACCATTTTTTTTTTTTGTTTGCGTGTCGAAATGATTCATGTACGCAGGTATGTGCGTCAGACATTTTTTGATATAGGCTACACAGTTATTTATGTTTTTAATATTGTAAGCAAAAGTGATTAATTCGTTTTGATATGAAATTTATTTGTTTTGTCTCATTTCATGCCGCCCTACAACTTCTATGGCTACTTCGAAGAGATCTCAATGAAAATCGCATCGCACACATACATCCGCGTGCCTTTTGGGGCTTAAATGACATCAGAGATATGTAAGTACAGAGAAGAAGCAGTTAGTTTAAGATCTTATTTATAGCGAAAGCAATTAAATCAGATACTTTTTTGATTGATTTAGTGGGTACTAAATATGAAAGGTTCATTGGTACGGCAGTGCGTATAAGTAACCTTCAAATGAGATTGAAGTTCATACTTTTCTCACGATTCTTTTTTAACTGCATTTTTCATAAGAGTACCAAATAGAAATGACAAAGCGTGAACTCAGATAAAATGGAAAAAATAACACAGCCCAACAGCATTTTTGGACAGCGGAATTATTCCAAATGAATGGATGAAAGATCTAGACCCACATAGTAAAACCTCCACATCCCCTTACATTCTCAGCTCAAATTTTTCTATGGCCATATTAAGTTTGGCAAATTTGTGCCTGAGTGTTTTAAGAATAAGTGGAAAAGAGTTTAAAATTCATATCGGAACGAAATATGTATTTGAGTACTTTTAGTTAAATTTCACGTGGAATAATTTTGTAGAGCATTTCAACCCTTTAGCTTTCTTACGGAAGGCTCGTTTCGACCACTTTTTTGAAAATCTTGAATAAAATATCTTCTACAAAATTGTTTGCCAAAAAGAACATAAAAGTCCACAGAAAAAAAACAACAACAAATTTGTCGCCTTGAAATACGCTACATCTTTTTTAAGCTTTATTTTGTATTTTAATCATAAATATACAGGTACAGCAGAATAAGACTTGAATTCGGTGCGATTTACAAAACCTATTTTGAAGACTTTTTAACAGAAGCGACCTTCCAAATGTCATTTTATTTAGAATTTCTATGTAGGGGCCAAAGCGATCCTTTGGTGAGAGAGCTAAAGGGTTAAAATGTTTTAAAAAAAAACATTCCTCGTGAAATTTTACTATATGTACCCAAATCTGGGTTTGTGAGTATACCAACTTATTTAAAACGATGAGCATGCTTTGAGGGTATTTTGAGCTTTTTTTCTGGGGATGTACTTAAAGTTGCACTCCTATGTATTTTTCAATTTGCTTCTCCGTACTTCCATCCTAGCGGCGTGGATAGACCATACGCGAGATGGCAAACCAATGGTGAGCCTTGCATCACGACAGAAAGCGAGGAAGCTTTAGTAGCGCCACTTCGATTTATTCAAGTTAAGGGAACTACTGCGCGCCAGTAAATTTAGCTGCAAATGAGTGCCTGCCTTGGAGAAAGCAGCTAGCTGTATAAGTATGCATATTTTTAAAACTCTACTCAGTAATGTGGTACTGCGCTTAGCGCGCGTCACATAAAAAAAGATGACATGCTGCGACGGTTATGATAGTCGCCATGGGATGACGCACAAATCCGCTGTGGGGCGAATTACTTTAAAGATGGAAAAGGGAATCTAGTAACTGACTTCCAGAGCATATGTTAGACATGGAGAGATCACTTCTCAAGACCAGTGCACTAGGACGAAATTTGCGGTACAGCACTAAACCAAGACCGGATGAGAACTGCAGTTGACGAGATACAATCTGAGCTGTTCAAAATCCAGCAGCGAAGGATTGTTCGGCCGTATTTACCAGATGTTCAAAAACAATTTGGACCGACGAATACACGCCAGAAGATTGGATTGTTAGTGTACTTTGCGGTGGATAAGCGTTTTCAACATTGCTTATAAGCTGATATCGACGTTACTGTGCGAAATGCTGAATCCCTTTATCAATGTGGCTTCAGGCCACCTGTCGATTTTGGTCGATTTAATATGGCTATCTATGTCGTTGAGCACAACTTTTAGATTCATTCGCGCCGTTCCGGGTCAAACGAAATTTTATACTTCTGAAATTTGATGTTGAAAAGCATAATACGAGCTGCCGATCAGAATTACAGCGGTACTATATGTATGTATCTAAAAAAAGCAGGATGCTGCTCGCGGCCGCAAGATAAGAGTAGTGGTGGGCGGGCTCAAGAACACAATGGAAGGAAGGGCCCAGTGCAGAAGGATCTGTCCGCACTTGGGGAGAACCACTAACTAGAAATTTTAGACTAGAGAAATATATTTCTTAAAACACCAAAGGTACCGCCAGGCTTTAGTAGCGTATTAATGAGCTCATCCACGTGATAAAAGTCTTGATTCCTCTGAGCACATAGCAAATCATTACTTAAATAGCTGTTATCTTAGTATCTTAATGTCCATTGGCAGCTTGCATCGTCGCTCGACTACTCCCAGATTTCACTGTATTTACACTGATTTTTATGCTTTCCTTTATTGTCAATAAATTAAATGCACCCTTTGCTTAAGTGCAGGGTAGTAAAGTTCATGAAGAAGCAAAAAAGTGAAAATAGTAAAGTTGTCTCCGCTTACTAAATAAATATTATTGCATTCCTCAGTATGTTGCTTCAAACTGTGCGCCAAGTAAGTAAATGTTTACTTAAGTGTTGCAGCAAAAAATAAAACTGCAATGCAGAAGACGGCGGACATATTAAGTGCAAGTAAATACAAGTTACTGTGGTTTGGTAAATTACGAGTAGAAAATTAATTTTTGCAATAGGAAAGAATATCAAACTGCGTAGACATTGAGAAAAGAATTGAAATACTGATGTGCATCAATTTGGAGATTAGTATAAGGATAAATAAAAAAACCATAAAGATAAGGAAAAGGAAAATGATAATGATACGGGAAAGGATAAGAACAAGGACAAGGATAAGGACAAGTATAAGGATAATGATAAGGATAAGGACATGGATAAGAACATGGTTATATATGAAGGATAAGAATAGTGATAAGGATATGGAATAGAACAAGTAAGTATAAGGCTAAGGATGAGATGATAAAAATAAGGATAAGGATAAGGATGTGGATAGGGACAAGTATAAGGATAATAATATCGATAAATATAAGGATACAAATAGGTATAATGATGTGGATATAGATAAGGGTCACCGAAAATATAAGTATCCCGATAAGAATTGGTCCCAGGATAAATATAACAATAAGTATAAGAGTAAGGTTAATAATAATAATAATAGATTGGCGCTTACACATATGTTAATGTTTTGAGCTTCTCCTCCGATTTGTGGCGTGCGCCTTGATGTCGTCACACAAAGAGGCGCGACCTACAATTTTAAGCCGACTTCGAACGGCGATTGTATTTTTATGAGAAGGCAGATATACACTCGGAGGTTTGCCATTGCCTGCCGAGGGGCGACCGCTGTTAAGAAAAAACCTTTTATTGAAATTTTTTGCGATGTTGCTTTGACCAGGACATGAACCCAAGCCCTGCGGGGTGGAAGCGTGCACTGCCTACCACTACAGCACAGCGACCGCGAACGGGTTTAGAAAAAAGATAAGGGAAAGTATGCGAAGCTTAAATATTTCCCTTACTTGATTCTTACAATGTGTATACATTAGGTTGCATCACTCCCCATACAAAAGAAACGGTACTATTTTTCCATCGGAATCAAAACCTTTATTATATTTTAATACTTTCGTAAATATGAAGATTTATGGGAGAGGCCCATTTGAAAATACCTCATAAAATTGGTTTTTTAACTGAGTTATAATTTAGAAATATTTTGTCAAAAAAATCTCCTCAGATCGCGGAATCAAATAATGAGATATTTGGTATTATCATTATTATATTTAGCTCACGTAAATATAAATCATATAATAATAAAAACCACAAAATTTTTTGGCGAGACATCCTATATGTACATATATACAAACATACATACCACCTATCATTTAGTAAATTAAATGAATTATTAGCAGATATTTAGATATCAATCGAAATAGGTTTAAAAAGCTTATATTTCTAGACTATGACTACATGTAGGAATGTTGCCACCAGTTTAAAAAGTCAAATTCAACTTAATTCATCAGCTAGTTAACTACGTATGTAACACAATATCAGAAGAAAAAAAAGTTGCGAAAGTTTTAGTTTAAAAATAATTTTTAAGAGAGTTGCACCTCTTTGAAAAGTTTAATTAAATTAAATTAAAAATAAACAAGTCCTATATAATATTAAAATATGAGTGTCGAACGAAGGAGCTTTAAGAAAGCTTTAGCTTGAAAGTATTTTTGTTAGGGTCGCCACCTATTAGTAAAGTCATATCAACGTAATTATGTATGTATATACAGTGACTCAAAAAAGCGATAAAGTGATGATTTTTTTACAAAAAACCTCAAAAGCCGTCACCACAAAAAAAAAATATTAAAAATCAACGCGGCGGACTATAAAACTGCATAACCAAAAATGTTCTAAGCATTCAAATTAAAAATTTTTAATTTTGATGAAAATTTGTTGGTTTTTCCTAAATTTTGTATAAAGTTTTAAACTGTGATTTATATGATTTTGGTTAAAGCTTGCAGAATATTTTTATAGAAAAATTACAAACAAAATTTAACTCGAAAAACATTATGAATATTTAAAAAAAATCAACACGTGTCACTGTACATTTAAATATGTATATGTATAATACGCGAAAGCATTTTTTCGAAGGTACCATTTGTTCGAATTTCAAAAGTGAGGTATCAAATTAAAGGGCTTCTTATATAAGCTTTTATTGTTTGAAGTTAGAACTATTTTCAGCGGTACAAAGTAAATTTATGCAAAAACAATTCTCGGAATTTTTGAAAAATTTCTTCCATTTTGTTGAATTTCTTGGCCAATCGCTTTGGCATTTAAACGCTATACGGATTCACTAGTGTGTATTGATTAAGAGAATTTAATATCATAAGTTAATACATATACTTGCTAGTTTCTGCATTTCAGCACGTTGAATGACCTGACAAGTGCATTCAATACCAAAGCGGATGGAACGAATAAATGGCAGCTACATATGTATTAAATGACACATTTTACCAACATTCGTGCACAGATTTGGGGTGTTCACAGTTCGTTCCAAATTGTGTCTGAAAATGTAGA